GCTGGCTGGCTGGCTTTGGTCCTTTACTTTAGTTTCTGTTTCAGAAATTAGGTGGAAAGAGGCAAAGGGTTGTTTTAAAGCTCAGAAATGGCTTTGGAAGAAGAGAGGGAGGAAAGAAGGAAGGAAGGAAGAGGGAGGGAGGGAGGGAGGATATTTTTATAATTTTGTTGTACTCTGTTTATGTAGTTTTGTTTTTTTTAATATTGTAAGCTGCCCAGAGTTACCCGCTGTTTAGACAGGCAGAGAATACATTAGATAGATAGATAGATAGATAGATAGATAGATAGATAGATAGAGAGAGAGAGAGAGAGAGAGAGAGAGAGAGAGAGAGAGAGAGAGAGAGAGATCTGTTAAGGAAGGAAGGAAAGGAAGGAAGGAAGGAAGGAAGGAAGGAAGGAAGGAAGGAAGGAAGGAAAGGAACGAAGGAAGGAAAGGAAAGGAAAGGAAAAAAGGGAAGGCAAGGCATGCATGGCTGAGGATTTCTGGAAGTCCCCCCTCCTTCCAGTTGCCAAGATTGAGAAACTCTGTTTTATTGTGTTTCATTTGGGGGCATCAAATCTCTGGGGGGGGGAACACAGATCAGAGCCTGGCCCCCAAGCCCCCAGAGGGTTGAAATTTCGGCTGGCCGAGGCGGCTGTGCCAGAAACCCAGCCCAGAGCCTTGAACTGCTGGCCTTCAAGACCCCCCCTCCACCCCCCACCCACCCCTCTCTGTCACCTCGGAATTGATGGCTTGTTTGTTGAGGGAGCCTTTGCCGCCCTCCCTCCGGCCTTGTGGAGGGGGGAAGTTCCTTTTGATCTTCAAAGGGAGGCCTGGCATGGGGGGGCGTGGGGGGGGCAAGGCTTGGCACGGGGGCAGCCAGGCCTTCCGTCTTCTCCTCCTTGATCTTTGGACAGCTGGCAGAGTTTCCCCTCCTCTTTGGCTTTCATTTTCCATTTTTCTTCCCCTTCCTTGCCAAGTTTATGGATTGCTTCATGATCGGCCGGGATCTGGTGCGTCTCCTGCAGAGCGTGGCCCGGATTCCGGAGTTTGAGCAGCTTTGGAAAGACATAATCCATAATCCACAGGCCCTGAGCCCCCAGTTCACAGGTGGGTAAAAGCACCGAGGGGGATTCCCCCCCCTTTCTTCGCGTTAACCCCTGTCTCACTTAACAACTGCGGTTGTAAGTCAAGGAATACCTGTATTCTTCCATAATGTTTGAATATTTGGTAGGGAAGCCAAGCCATTTCCCCCTGATTGGTTGGTTGTCTTTAAGATTTGTGGGTCCCTCTACACTTCTCACTTCCCTTTGTGTCCGTTGTGTTCAATCCCCAGGGATGTTGCAGCTTCTGCAGTCAAGGACCTCCAGGAAATTTCTAGCCTGTCGCCTCACCCCGGATATGGAGACCAAGCTGCTTTTTATGACCTCCCGGGTATCTTGTTTCTGTTTTATTTCATTTTTTTATCCTGGCTTTATTGGCTGCGATCCACTTAACAACCGTGTGTGTGTGTGGGGGGGGAAGCTTGTAAAATCAGGCCCAGTTCCCTTAATAACTTACCTCATAGGTAAGTCCTCGGCTTCTCTTAGCGACCGTCACGACGCCACTGAAGTCACCACAGCGCTTTAAAAAAGAGACTTAGGACCGTTTTTCACCCTTAACGACCATCGCAGCCATCCCATGGTCAAAATTCGGATGCTTGGCAACTGACTCAATATACGACGGTTGTAAAACAGGGCAAAACTCACTTAACAAACGTCTCGCTTTAGCAGCCTAAATTTCGGAGGGGGGGATTGTCCATCTTGGTCGTAAGCTGAGGACTGCTGGTCCTCAGCACTTGTAAATTCCAGAATTGGCATCGCTTAAGTAAGGCGGTTATGATTTTACGAGCTTTTCTTGTTTTTTGGGCTACGGTTCTTAAGTGATATAATATAAGTCGTAAGTTGAGGACTCTCCGTATCCCCGCAAGAAGGACCCGGGTCTTACGTCAAGCCGGCTTCCGATCCGAGGCAGCTTCTTCCTTCTCTGTGTCCAGGTCCGTTTGGGTCAACAGAAGCGGTACCAAGACTGGTTCCAGCGCCAGTACCTCTCCACCCCGGATAGCCAGTCCCTGAGATGCGACCTCATCCGTTACATCTGCGGGGTGGTCCACCCGTCCAACGAGGTGCTCAGCTCCGACATCCTCCCCCGCTGGGCCATCATTGGCTGGCTGCTGACCACCTGCACGGTAAGCATTGTGGTTTGACCAACATGGATGATGGTTAACGTCATCAGCCATCCACGGCTTGACGAGCTTCAGAGTGGGAAGGGACCTCGGAGGTCTTCTAGCCCAGCCCCCTGCTCAGAATACAGGATGACAGAGTGGGAAGGGACCTCGGAGGTCTTCTAGTCCAGCCCCCTGCTCAAGCAGGAGACACTATACCATTTCATACAAGGGGCTCTCCAGTCTCTTCTTAAAAACCGCCAGGGTTGGAGCCCCCACAACGTCTGGAGGCAGGCAGTTCCACTGGTTAATTGTTCTCACTGGCAGGAAATAATCCTGGCTTGCTTCTCTCCTTGATTCGTTTGAGACTCTTTCATTGTGTGAGTCTGTCTTCTGGGGGGGTGGGCATCTAGGGGCACAGTCAGCCCCCCCCAACCTTGAAAGGGGGGGAGAGAAGGGAGACGCTTTCCCAGGTCGAAAACTGACCGGAAGCAAGCCAGGACGGCGACTCCCGCAGAGCAGCGTCAAACCCTCCCTCCGTTCCTTCTCTTCCAGTCCAACGTGGCTGCTTCCAACGCCAAACTCGCCTTGTTTTACGACTGGCTGTTCTTCAACCCCGACAAGGACAGCATCATGAATATCGGTACGGGGGCCAATCTTTTCTCTCTCCCCCTTCCCCCCCGATGCTGCTTGGGGTCTTGGCAATTCGCTTAACGACCGTGTCAGGAAAGGTCGTAAAAAGGGGACAAAAACTCCCTTAACCAACGTCTCGTTTAGCAACGGGAAGCTGTCGGGCTCCACTGAGGTCGCAACTGGAGGACCGCCTGCGTTTGAGCGGGCCTACTGGGATTTTTTTAAACAGAGCGGGCAAAGGTTGCGAACTCCACAGCCTGGAGAGTGTGTGTGTTGTGTGGTTGTGTGGTTTCTGATCGACCTCCCCGCGTTTGGTGTGTGTGTGTGGGGGGGGGCTTCGTAACGCTTGAATCATTTTACAGAGCCCGCCATCTTTGTCATGTACCATTCCATGAAACCTCACCCGGCGATCACGGCTACTCTGCTGGACTTCATGTGTCGGGTAAGACCCCCCCCTCTTCCCCCCTCCCCACGAGACCAGTGCAGATGGCTCCCTGCTGGGCAGCCAACCCCCCCTCCTCCTCACCACCCCCTCCCCATTTCTCCTTCCAGATCATTCCGAATTTTTATCCCGCGCTAGAAACTCACGTCCGCCAAGGGGTCTTCAACTCCCTCACCCACATCGTGGAGAAGCGAGTCTTGGCGTAAGACCCTGGGATTTGGAGGTTCCCCCCCTCCCATCCTTGGGGGGCGGGTGGGCTGCAGATTTCCCCCCCTTGGGGTGGAAAGACCCAACTGGTGGCCCGGGAGACCCTTCCCAGCCTCCCCGGATAAACAGAGCAAAAACACAATTCCACCCTGTGTCCATTTCTTAAGCAGAAACCCTTTTGGCCAACCGGTTCCTTCTTAAAAAGGTGTCTCCTCTCCACTCCTGGCTGGGGAGGATGGGAAGTGGAGTCCAAGAGGGGGCACCAGGTGGGGGATACAGAGGCCTCTTGGCCCTAAAACCGGCAACAACAAACACCCACGTTACTCCATTTGGGAGTCCAACATTTGGGGAGGCTTGGAAAACATTTTTTGATCTTCGAGATACGCTCTTGTAATAATAATAATAAAGTTGGAAGGGACCTTGGAGGTCATCTAGTCCAACCCCCTGCCCAGGCAGGAAACCCTACCCCATTTCAGACCAATGGCTGTCCGGTCTCTTCTTAAAAACTTCCAGTGTTGGAGCATTCACAGCTTCTGGAGGCAGGTTGTTCTTCACCCTCCCCCTGTCCTGTTTCTCCCCCCCCCCCATGCAGACACCTGGCTCCTCTTTTCGATAATCCGAAGCTGGACCGGGAACTCCGGGCTATGCTTAGAGAGAAGTTTCCAGAATTCTGCTCCTCTCCCTCCCCTCCGGTCGAAGGTAAGCTGGAGGAGAACGTTGGGGAGGTGTCCACCACCGTCCAGACCCCAACCCTTCAGGAGATCTTGCTGGGAGTCAGCCGAGGGGTGGGGTCTCTGCCTTTCACCCTTCTTATTTAAAGGAGGCATAAATCAATCCGAATAGAGCTGGGAGGGACCTTGGAGGTCTTCTAGTCCAGCCAAAGATCCCTATGGCTGTCCAATCTCTTCTTGAAAGCCCCCAGGGATGGAGCACCGACAACTTCTGGTGGCAAGCTGTTCCACCGGCTAATGGTCCTCACAGTTAGGAAGTTTCTCCTTAGTTCCAGGTTGCTTCTCTCCTTGGTTAGTTTCCATCCCTTGTTCCTTGTCTTGCCTTCTTTGTGGCAGCCCCTCAAATACTGGAAGGCTTCTCTCATGTGCCCCCCCCCCCAGTCCTTCTTTTCTTTAGACTAGTCAAACCCAAATCCTGCAGCCGTTCTTCGTACTGTATGTTCTAGTCTCCGGGCCTTTAATCATCCTAGTTGCTCTTCTTTGCACTTTTCCCAAAGTCTCCACTTCGGTTTTGTAATGTGGTGACCAAAACTGGATGGAGCATTCCAGGTGTGTGGCCTTAACAAGGCTCTCTGGTGCCTGTGGAGCTTCTGCTGGCAAAGGGTGGGGGGCTGGGGGGGTCCCTGCTGGAGAAATTGGGCTGGCCTTTGCTCCCTTCCAGCCTCCCCTCTCCAAGACCGGACCGTCAGCGTCATGCCCACCGCCGGCACCCCTTGGTCGGCCGCAGGGGATCCTGGGAAATGAAGTTCCTGCTGGAACTGAGGCCATCCCTTCGGCCCATCTGCCTCTCTCTTACGCCCCACAGTCAAAGTCGAGGAACCGGCGGCGGCCGAGCTGGACAATCACATGTCTGACCGAGACGAGAGCTGCTACGACCAGGCCGAGGCCGCCTTCAGCGACGATGAGGAAGATCTCAACAGCAAAGGTGGGGTGGCTGCTCCTGTTCCTCCAGCTGCCCAACAGACCATGGCTGCACGCGAAAACCTGGTCTGTGCAAAGCAGATCCTGCGGGAGCCGCGGGATGGAGGGAGGGAGGACTGCTGGATGATGTATTTTTACAGATAGATAGATAGATAGATAGATAGATAGATAGATAGATAGATAGATAGATAGATAGATAGATAGATAGATAGATAGATAGATAGATAGATAGATAGATAGATAGATAGATAGATAGATAGATAGATAGATAGATAGATAGATAGATAGATAGATAGATAGATAGATAGATAGATAGATAGATAGATATAGATGATAGATAGATAGTAGATAGATAAGAGATGATAGATAGATTATAGAGATAGATAGAAATAGATAGATAGATGTGATAGAGAGATAAATGTAGATAAATAGATATAGATAGATAGATTATAGATATAGATAGATAGATTGATTATAGATAGAGATAGATAGATATAGATGATAGATAAGAGATGATAGAGATAGAGAGAGATAGATGAAAGAGAGCAAGAGAGAGAGAGAGAGGGATGGATGGAGGATAGTCCCCTCCTGAAACCTTGGAAGGTGGACCCTCTGGTCCCTGTGAGCCACCCAGATTGGCCCCTGCGGAAGCCTCCGTGCAGAGGGCTTGAGCCCCCGCTGTTTCCCCCCCCCTCTCCTGGCAGGGAAGAAGAGAGAGTTCCGTTTCCACCCCATCAAGGAAGCCGTGGTGGACATCTCCCCCTTCCTGGAGCAGCTGGACGAGTCCCTCAAAGACAAGATCCTGCTCTTACAGAAGGGGAGGTGGGTATCGCCCCGGGGCACGTCCGCCCTCCTCCTTTTTGCACTTCTAGGCCTTGAGAGGTTGGCCTGCTCTCCCCCGAGGTCTCCTTCTCTTTCCTCCGGCTCTTTGGCCCCCGCTGCTTAAGAATCCTGCTCCTGTATATGGAGGTTCTACCTCCAGGGCCCTGGAAGGGGTCCCGCTCTTCTCCAAAGCGCCTGAAGGCAGGACAAGAAGCAAAGGATGGAAACTAGTTAAGGAGAGAAGCAACCTGGGAATTAAGGAGAAATTTCCTGATAGTGAGGACAATTAACCCGTGGAACTGCCTGCCTCCAGAAGTTGTGGGTGCTCCATCAATGGAGGTTTTTAAGAAGAGACAGGAGAGCCACTTGTCTGGAATGTTATATAGGGTTTCCTGCCTGAGCAGGGGGTTGGACTAGACGGCCTCCAAGGTCCCTTCCAACTCTGTTCTTCTGTAATTCTACTGTCCTTCCTTCCTTCCTTCCTTCCTTCCTTCCTTCCTTCCTTCCTTCAATCCATCCATCCATCCATCCATCCATCCCTGGAGGTTTTTAAGAAGGGATTGGAGAGTCATTTGTCTAGAATGGGTTTCCTGCCTGAGCAGGGGGTTGGACTAGATGACCTCCAAGGTCCCTTCCCACTCTTGTTATTCAGTTATTCTGAGTTCTGCTCCGGATTCTTTTCTTTACCAACCTTGCAGCTGATGGGGGAGACCTCTGGGGAGACATTCTGTGGTTTGTGGGTGGAATGAGTGTGTTGCAAAACATTGTGCAAAAGCCGTGGGGTGGGGGTGGGGGGGAGTGGAGCAGATAAGAGCAGCAGCCACAGAGCTGAGCCAGGCCAGCCCGAGGCCAGAGCCTTATGGCAGCCCCCAGCCCCCTTGGGAAACACACAGCTTGTGTCTTTTAACAACTGAATTTACAACCCACCCAGCCACTGGCCAAGGCTGAGATTCCTTTTGTGAGTCTTTTCTGAGCCTCTGGATTGCGCAACCACCCTGTGGGGCAGCCCCCTCCCCAGCAGCTCTGGAAGGGCTTAAAAAAAATGTAATGGGGGGGTTTGCAAGGGGGTCTGTTCCCCCCCCCTCGCACAAGCTGGCTTTTGTTATCCTACCTAGCTTTTGTTCTCATCCTATACACAAACCCCCCTCTTTCTCTCTCTCTCTGTCTCTGTCTGTCTCTCTCTCATTCTCTCTTTCTGGAATCCAGCTGTGCAAAACTGGACTTTTGCAACTTTCCCTGTTGGGGGGCCTTTTGACCCAGCACCCTCCATTAATTTAGCCTGCCGTATGACTAAGCACTTAATAGGCTTGTTTTTTTTTTTTTTGCAAAAGCTCTGCAGAGAGAATTTGGGGAAGGCAAGCAAAGCTTGGTTAAACCAGGATTTAAACCTGCTGTAAAACCAGGATTCCTGTTGTGAAACCAAGATCCCAGCTGTGGCCGGCCTTGGATCGCCAAGCTACTGAGTGTAATCTTCCCAATTAAGAGATTTATATATACATATATATATATAATGCATGCCGGGACTGTTTGGAGTGCCTCTTTAGCTGATGGCTGCTTTTTTCTCATTACAGGGGTCTCTCTCACACACACACACACACACACACAGACACAGACCATGTCTCTTTTCCTCTCTTTTAACTTGAATTTCCTTTTTTTTTCTGTCCCCCCCCCATCGGGCTGCAGCGATACGGAAGCCCAGTGCGAAGCTATGCAAGAAATTGTGGATCAAGTCTTGGAGGTGACGGCTGCTTTCTGGATTCGCAGGGCCTGGTTTTGGATGGTTTTTGGGGAGGGGGGCAGAGTAAATTTGAGGCTGGGGGCCCTTGCGTTAGCCCTGCCCTCGAGGAATCGCAGTGGGAGCCCCGCTTTGTGGCCTGGGATTTTCCCTTTCGGTCCGTTTCCCAATCAAGCCACGCTTATTCCGTCCTCCCATCCCGGATTGTCGCATCCTTTTGCACGCTCACTGTTGTTGTTCCCCCCCCCCCATCTCTCTCTTCCCCAGGAGGATTTTGACCAGGAGCAACTCTCGGTCCTGGCCTCCTGCTTGCAGGAGCTGTTCAAAGCTCACTTCCACGGGGACGTTTTGCCGGAAGAAATCACGGAAGAGTAAGCGCACGGGCAACGGGACAGTCCGTCCTCCCTCTTGCAGCTCCTGCTCTTAACCTGGTTTGAGAATAAGCCAGGGTGAAACCTGGCTTAATCTAGTGGGTCCAAAGCCACAGAGATTGGAAGGTGGTCCCGTGGCCTGTGTCAACTCAGCATTTTATGTTTTATATTTCCGCACAGGTCTCTGGAAGAATCCGTAGGGAAGCCGCTTTACTTAATATTTAGGTAGGTCTCTCTCCTCCTGTTCGTTCATTAGTTTTTTTTTATCCTGCTTTTATTACTTTATAAGTCACAACAGACCCAATGCACCTTTCTCCTCCTATTTGCCCCACAACAGCCCTGTGAGGTGGGCCAGGCTAAGAAAGAGGGCCTGGCCCAGAGTCGCCCAGCCGGCTTTCGTGCCTAAGGCGGGACTAGAACTCCCCGTCTCCTGGTGATTGGCCCAGAGTCGCCCAGCCGGCTTTCACGCTTAAGGCAGGACTAGAACTCGCAGCCTTACGATTTCTAGGCCAGCCCCTTAACCGCCACACCGAACTGCCTCTCCCTGTGCTGAACCCTCTCTGCTCCCCCCGTCCTCCCTTTCGCGTCCAGAGCTTGCGGGAGAAAACCTGCGTGTCCCCCCCCCCCGGGGCTTGACACTCGCACGTGTGAATCCGCCACCCCTGTTTGCAGGAACCTGTGCCAGATGCAGGAGGACAACAGCAGCTTCTCGGTCCTGCTGGACCTGCTGTCGGAGCTGTACCAGAAGCAGCCCAAGATCGGCTTCCACCTGCTCTACTACCTGAAGGCCAGGTGAGGAAGAGGGGGCGGCCCTTCCCTCGCTCGTGGGGGGGGGAGGACACTTGCCCTCCGAGGCAGGTCCCAACTGCCCCCCTCTCTCCAGCAAAGCGGCCGCCGGGAAGATGAGCCTCTACGAGTCCTTCGCCCAGGCGACTCAGCTGGGGGACCTTCACACCTGCCTGATGATGGACATGAAGGCCTGCCAGGAGGACGACATCCGCCTGCTCTGCTACCTCACGCCCTCCATCTACACGGAGGTCAGGNGGGGAGGGCAAGAGACCCCCCTCCCCCCCGCTTTGAGAGGGAGGGAGGGAAGGGAAGGCTGCTTGCTCGAATTGTGGTCCTCCTCTTCTTCCTTCTTCTCTTTTCCTTCTTCCTTCTTTCTTTCTTTCTTCCCTTCCTCCTCTTCTCCTCCTCCTCCCCTTCTTCCCTTCTCTTCCTTTCCTTTCTGTCCTTTTCTTCCCCTTTCTCTTCTTTTTTTCTTTTATCCCCCTTCCTTCCTTCCTTCGCTTTTCCTCTCCTCCTCCTCCTTTTCCTGTCCCTCTTTTCCTTCCTTCTTATATTTTTCCTTTCTGTCCCTTTCCTTCCTTCCTTCGCTTTTCCTCTCCTCCTGCTTTTCCTGGCCATCTTCCTCCTTCTACTCCGTGTTTATTTCCCCCCCTCTTCTTCTATCTCCTCCTAAGAAAATAAACATCCTTTTGTCTCCCAAACTAGGGAGCAGCACACTGTCCCTCCGCCCTCCTTCCTGCCCCCAAAAGAATTTCTGCGATTGAAGTTTTTTTTTTCCTGGCCAGCAGCTTCTCAGCTGCTTCAATTCTCCCCCCACCCCCCTCGGGGGTCTCACTCTCCCTTTCCCTTCTCTTCCCTCCCAGTTCCCCGACGAGACCCTCCGAAGTGGGGAGCTGCTGAACATGATTGTCGCCGTCATTGACTCGGCTCAGGTAAGGCCCACAACAGACCCACAACCGGAAGAGAAGCGGGCCCACAGGAGAGGCCTCCTTCGTCCCCAAACCGGGCAGGGAGGAGATGGAGCCGAAGGGAGGAAGAAGCGGCTGTTGATTTAAAAAAACAACAACTACAAAACCCATCTTGGCCTGGCTTCCTGGTGCATTTTTCCTGTTTGTTTGGGTTTTTTTGTACAGCTCCAGGAACTGGTGTGTCACGTCATGATGGGGAATTTGGTGATGTTCCGGAAAGATTCGGTCCTTAATATTCTGAGTGAGTTGCAGCCACCCGGAAGGGCATCGGCCTTTTTCCCCAAGTGGCCGGCGGGAGCGATCTCGGCAAAGGGCAGACTAGGAACGAATACTGACCTCAACTCCCAGAATCCTTTGGGGGTCCCTTCTTGGCCCAGGAAAAGTGTGATTCTTAGCCGGGCCGGGTTGTGTGTGTGGAATAGATTGTGGTGTTTTGTGTTGATCTGCGTCTTTAGCAACTCGCTTCCTTTCTCTTTGTTTTTTTTTTAGTTCAGAGCTTGGAGTGGGAGACTTTTGAGCAATATTGCACCTGGCAACTTTTTCTGGCGCACAACATTCCCCTGGAAACCATCATCCCCATCCTGCAGCATCTGAAATACAAAGGTGAGCCCACTAGGGATGCTAGCCAGCTGCCGGTCTCTGGCCCAGCAAGGGAGAGAGAGAGAGAAAAAAAAGCAGCGGGATCCTTATTACGCAAAGTTGTGGCTTTTATTTTTCAAAGCCTCTCCGTGTAGAGAAATACACGCGGTCCTCGGCTTACGACGGATCGCTCAGTGGCCATTCAGAATTACTACGGGGTCTCTCGAGAGCTATGAGTTGTAATAGGCACACACAAACACATCGCACAAACACGCGACCATTTGCAGCGTTCCCCGGCCAGGTGACCGTGATTTGAGGGAGACGGACGGTTAAGAAAATCGAATGAATGAATAAAATCAATTTAAATTTGCAAAGCTTTTTTTGACAGTTTCTAGTGTTTCCCACCCATTGGGGAAGAATTGGATTTGCTTAATGGCCACGGCGATTGCAAAAAAAATGCTTGCAAAATCCGGTTGTCTTGATACCTTCTCGACTTGCGACGGTAATCCCAAGCTCAGTTAGATTCAACATTTTTCAAAAAATTGGTTTTTTTTTTTCTTGCAGAACACCCCGAGGCTCTGTCCTGCTTACTGTTGCAGCTGAGACGGGAAAAGTACGTATTTGAAATTCTCTGCCTGCATGGTTGAGAAACAGCGGCAAATAATTCATTTTTTTAGCAGAATTTAGACTTTTTTCTTCTACGGGCAATCCTTGAGTTACAACTGTTTGTTTCCTTGGGTCTGGAAACTGGAATGGAATGGAGAAGAACAGAACAGAATATAGAATAGAATAGATATAGAATATAGAATAGAATAGAGAATAGAATAGATATAGAATATAGAATAGAATAGAGAATAGAATAGAATAGAATAGAATAGAATAGAATAGAATAAGGAAATACAGAATGGAATAAATAATAGAAATAGAAAGGAATAGAAGAAAGAAATATGGAATGGAATAAAGAATAGAAATAGAATAGAATAGAATTAGAAATAATAGAGACATTAATAATATAGAATAGAGACATTAATACTATAGAATAGAATAGAGTAGAATGAATAGAATTAGAAATAATAGAAATAGAATATAGAATAGAGACATTAATGATCTAGAATAGAATAGAATAGAATTAGAAATAGAATAGAATTAGAAATAGAATAGAATAGAAAACAATAGAATAGAATAGAATTAGAATTAATAGAAATAGAATATAGAGACATTAGTAATATAAAATAGAATAGAATTAGAAATAATAGAATAGAGACAATAATATAGAATAATAACTTTATTGTCACTTGAAATATAGATTAATATATTAAAATGGGATTTCCTGGCGTTCGGCTCTCAGAGGTTCATCACCTCCGATATAAACGGCATAAACCATAATCCTTTGCCGCAGGCCGACGGAGGAGATGGTGAAAATGGTGCTAAGCCGGCCGTGCCATCCAGACGACCAGTTCACCACCAGCATCCTCCGGCACTGGTGCATCAAACACGAGAACCACCTGATAGAGCACATCAAATCCCTCCTGATCAAGAACAACAGCCTGCCCCGGAAGCGCCAAAGGTGGGGTTCAGGAAGAGCGGGGTGTGTGTGTGTGTGTTGGGGGGGGAGGGGCAGGCAGAGGCCGGCATTTTTAAATTAAAAAAACAAAACAAAACTTTGAAAACTTCTTTAAAACTTCTTTCTTTCTGGCATTTTTAATCTCTTTATTAAGTTAAAATTTTAATTTAAAGTTTGAAACGTTAACAGGGAGATCTAGCACAAGCTTTTGTTTTCTGGCTCTCTGGCTCCCCCTGTTGGTGTCTCGTGCGGCAGGCGGGCGCTTTATTCACCTCTCAGCCTAGTCTTGTGCCTTCTTGAGGACTAGAGACTTGGTCTTTGCAGGGGAAATCGGGAATTATGTGGTTATTTTGGGGGGAAGAGAAATACAAATCTATTTTTTTTCTTCTTTCCTTCCTTCCTTCCTTTCTCTTTCCTTCCTTTCTTTTTCTTTCTTTCTCTTCTTTTTCGCTATCTATCTATCTATCTATCTATCTATCTATCTATCTATCTATCTATCTATCTATCTATCTATCTATCTATCTATCTATCTATCTATCTATCTATCTATCATCTCTTTTCTTTACCCCTTTCTCACTTACTATTTTGCTTCCTTCAGCCTTCGCAGCTCCAGCAGCAAACTGGCCCAGCTGACCCTGGAGCAGATCCTGGAACATCTGGATAATCTCCGCCTGAACCTGAGCAACACCAAACAGAGCTGTAGGTTGAGGCTGGGGGCCGTAGAGACCCCGGGGTTGGGGGCCAGAGGGATGTTCTGCAATCCCAGCCTTTTCCTCCCTGCAATAAGGGGGGTTAATGGCAGGGACACCCCCACACCGCATTAATACTCAATCCGAATAGAGCTGGAAGGGACCCTGGGGGTCTTCTAGTCCAACCCCCTGCTCAAGCAGGAGAACCGATGCCTGCTTTCAGACATGGCTGTCTTGAAATCCTCCAGTGATGGAGCACCCACAACTTCTGGTGGCAAGCTGTTCCACAGGTTCATTGTTTCTCCTTAGTTCCACATCGCTTCTCTCTTTTGATTGGTTGCCATCCGTTGCTTCTTGTCCTGCCCTCAGGTGCTTTGGAGAAGTGGTGGACCCCTCTTTTCTCTGGGGCAGCCCCCCCAAATATTGGAAGGCTGCTATCATGTCCCCCCCCCGGGTCCTTCTCTTCATTAAACCAGACAGACCCAATTTCTGCTTTAGCCTCCAGGCCTTTAGTCATCCTATCAGAAGGCCGTTGCTCTTCCAGGGACCCCCACTTTTTCTAATGGCCACTTTCTCATGACCCCCTCCCCACTTTCCTTCCAGTTTTCAACCAGCCCCCCATCCTCCAGTCCTTGCAACACGTCCAGTGCAGCTGTGACGAAGCCCACAAGATGAAGTGAGTAAGACCCTCGTCGGTCGGTTGTTCCTGCCGGACCCAGCCAGGAATCCTGGGGGGGGGGAGAGACCTGGTCCCCTCACCCCTTTTCTCCCCCCCCTCCCCAGGTTCAGCGACCTCTTCTCCCTGGCCGAGGAGTACGAAGACTCCTCCAGCAAGCTGCCCAAGAGCCGAAGGAAGGCGGCCCTCTCCAGCCCCCGCAGCCGCAAGAACACGGCCCAGCAGCCACCCAACAACGAGGAGGAGTCGGCCTCCAGCAGCGCCTCGGTGAGTGGGGGGCGGTGGGGGGGGTCTTTGGGAGTGCAGGGGGGGGGCTGGGGAAGAAGGAAGGAAGGAAGATGATAAATAGGCAGCTAGATATGAGATTGTTCCCGGCCCCTTACAACTTGCCCTGTTGTTCTTGTTGCGAAGCTTGGATTTGGGGGAGGGGGCTGCCCAGTGACACACCCACAAAGACCCCTCCCATCCAGTGTTTCCCCCCCTCTTTCTCTGACCCACAGGAAGAGGAAGACACCAAACCGAAACCCACCAAGCGGAAGCGGAAAGGATCCTCGGCTGTTGGCTCAGACAGCGACTGAGTGGGGGGGGGCTGGGGGTCCCTGTGGCGGGGCCCACCCCTGCGCCAATCCCCCCCTCCCAAAGCCGCCCTTTGGGGCAAAGGAACTGCCCAGCCCCCAGGTCGAATCCAGATCCGGCCAGGCCAGGCGGACACAATTGCCGGAGAAGGACGAGGCTGCGGAGTGACGCTCTCCCCTGGCAGGGGGTCCTCTTGGGGGGGGGCTCCATCCCTGCCAGAAAAATGGGTGGTCTGCCCACATGGGGAGGTCACATCCTCGCTGTGCCCACCCACCTCACTTCGGCTGGCTGGCTTCCGTGGGGCAGCAGCAGCAGCAGCAGTGGCGAAGGGAGGCCAAATCCAGAAACCAGATCAAGAAACGGAGCCCGATTTTGTTTTCCAGATGTAAATAAACCGTGTGAACTGCTGTGATCACCAATTGGTGCTTCTCCCAAGGAAAACCTGGAGGAGGGAGGGCTTCCTTTTTTTGGGGGGGGGGGAGAGCAGGCTGGGGAGATCTTCCCCATCCGAGCCAGGCCCGGATTTTTTTCTCTGTCCGTGTTTGCTTCAAATAAAAGGCATTTTATTCTTGCCTCGCTTGATCCAGCCATATTGTGCCCCCTCCCCAGCACAGCCTCACAAAACCAGCCTTGCAGATGCAAATCAAGAAAGACCCCCCCCTCCTTGTCTCTCTCCTCTCCCCCCTCCCTCTTTTCCAAAATCCGCTGGGGACAGGAAAACTCCAGCAAGGAAATAAAAACCGTCCCTTTTATGTTGAACTGTCTCTTCCCGGCAGAGATGATCCTTTTTAAAGTGGTTTGGAAAAAAAGAAAAGAGACACTAAAAATTGGCAATTTGGGGGGTTTTTTTGGGGGGGGGGAACTCACTGCTTTGTCTCATGTTTGGGGACCAGGCCAGGCTCAATCTGGGGTTGGGATGGTCCTTCTTTGTGTGTTTTTTTAAAATATCCTTTTGAGTTTTGCTTAGTGATATCAGTATTATTTTGTTATTTGTTAAGTTCTCTCTGTTTCCCTTTTTCTTTCTCTTTCTGTGTTTTTTTCTCCCCCCTCTTTCACTCCTTTCCTTTCACTGTTTCCTTCTCTCTCCCTCTTTTGCTTTTTCTTTCTCTATCTCCTTTTCTCACTTTCTTTTTTGCTCTCTCTTTTTCTTTTTCTCCATTTCACTCTTTCTTTTACTTTTTCTCTGTGTCTCTTTCCCTCATTCTCTTTTGCTGTTTCACTGCTTCTCTTTTTTCTTTGTTTCTTTCTGTCTATCTCTTTATATCTCTATATCTATCATCTGTATATCTATATATTTATCATCTGTATCATCTATATCTATCATCTCTATATCTATTGTCTGTCTGTCTGTCTGTCTATCTATCATCTATCTCATCTCTCCTTTCCCAGGAAGAACTTAATTAGTCTCTTCAAAAGAGAAAAAGCAAAGGGGGCAGACTGACCAAGTGGCTCTCAAACTTAAAAAGTTAGTATTTAGCATTTTCTTGGTTTTTCTACCCTGGGTTCCCGAGCTTATGTTGGAAGCTGCGATCAAAGCGCAGAAGTCAGTCAGGATTTAAAAAACTTGCCCGTTTTGAAAAAGGAAAAGCAACAGACCCTGTCCTATTTTATTTATTTTTTTTGAGGAAAAGAAAAGGAAATCTCAATATTTGGCTTTGTATTAACGGCCTGGGGGAAAGCGTGGGAAAAAAACGGAGTGACTTTCCACAGGGGGGGGGGGGGAAGCGAAAAGCATCAGGCTAGAAAAGCAGGCAGTGGTGACTTCTAACCTCGCCTTAGCCATGAAAGCTGGCCAGGTAACTTTGGGTCAGTTCTCCTTCCTGTCAGCCCAGCCCACCTTATAGGGTTGTTGTTGGGAGAAGCAGGAGGAGAAAGGAATATTAGGTGTGTTATTTGTAAAAACAACAAGAGGCGGGATACAACCTCAGGCCTTCTTCCTTTGGAAAAGTAGCCCTTAAGTAGCCGAGATCAATGGAGCTCCTAGCACCAGGGGCAGTCTACCCCCAAACGATCAACCCCTTCCAATATTTTCCTTGCCAGATTTCCCTCCGGGGACCAATTTGAGCTAACGTTCACAGAACATTTCGTCCTGTTGGAAGGGGGAACATTTCCTGGACCAAAAAGCAACATTAAGGAATCCCAGCTCGGGTCCAAACTCTTCCCCCCCCCCCCGCAAACAAGCTGGGGAAGGATGCTGACACGGTTGTAAATGTGAGGACTAGTCGTAAGTCCCGTTTCCCTCGAACGGGCTGGGGGCACCAATTTAGCTAACCAAAACATCCCTTTAAAGTTTCTTTTTTCTTTAACTCCGATGCTGCCTCTGGCTTCTTTCTCTCCCCAATTTGAATTTATTTATTTTTTTATTACTTTTTTTTCCTGGGGTTTTTCAGGCTTCAAACCAAACGGCTGATTTTGTTTTGTTCTTGTTTTTCAGTATTCCTGGCCTCATTTTATTCCAGGCTCCTCCTTGTGTTGTGGCCCGAGGGCAAAAAAAGGGAGGGTGTTTTGTTGCCAACACTTCCATCTTTGTGTGTGTGTGTGTGTTTCTCAACATCTGCAATTCCTAGGATTTGGGGACAGGGACCACCCCTCCCCCAGGCTCAGTAGGGAAAAGATCAGGAGGGTGAAATTTCTTCCAGCAGCCGCTGCTCTGCACGTTTGCAAAGTAGGGGAAAGTTTAATCCGGGGAACCACAATTAATTCCTGGGCCTTTTTTTTTTTGGCACCTGTTAAGCAGGGATTTAATGGGTTAATGGGGGGGGTTAATTGCGGTCAACACGAAAATCAGATGTTCCTGCCAAGAGGGAGCCCACGAGGCCCCCACTTTGTCTTGGTGGGGAGGGGGGGAGATGCCCAGGGGTTGCTTATGGAGGAGGGGGGGGGGTTTGTCGATTAGCCGTGATTCAAAACAAACCACAGCTTGTGATGATCCTGGGCTAGTTAGTGAAGTAGGACCGACCCTGATTGTGGACGGTCCTTCTGGGCTGGATAGAAGGCTGGCTTTGGGGCATCTCCTTGGGGACTGGGTGCGAATGAGCCCTGGCAGTCCCAAGGGGGTGGGTCTTCTTGGCGGGGTGCCAAGTTTCCCCCCCCTCATTGTCCCACTTCCCCATCTCTCTCTCTCTCTTCCCCTCTCTCATTCCCTCTCTAATTTTCTAACTTTTTCTTTCTCTCTTTCTCATTGTCCCACTTCCTTCCTTCCCCCTCTTCTCTCTCTCTTGCCCTCTTTTCTTCCCTCTCTCATTCCCCCTCTCTCTCTGTGTAACTTTCTCTCTCTCTCTCTCTCTCCTGTCTCAGCATCTCCTCCCTCGAAAAGATCTTAGAACTTTGCGGGCTAAGCAGAAGAGGGGGCGGGCGTGGGGCCCCCCCTCCCCTTTACACACAAACACACACACACACAAAACACCCGCCCCCTTGCGCGTGCGTGCGCGCACACCCACAAAGGCGGGCAGGCGGGCGTCCTTCCTTGCTGGGCTGAGCGCGCAGAGGGGCCGGCAGCTGCTGCGCCCCCTGCCCGCTCGCCCACCC